TTACCATCGGAAAATCCGTATATGAGATGTATGTCTGCCATTTAATTGTTTGACCAAGCCATAATTTTTTTAAACGTAGACTATTGCGTTAATAACGCTAACGTACGATATGAATACTTTACTTTCACTGAGCACAATATACGAACCGTACTACTTACAATACAAATAATACGCGTTTATGTTTACAAATTAACAAGACCTTAAGTCCTTTAAATCTTGTACATAAACAGCAAACCGATATCCCAGTATGCTATCTTAACTCTATTGGAAAATAAAAAAGCTTTAATTTGAAAACAAGGTCATATCGGACATATGTTTATATGAATCTTTTCTCTTATTTTTGTGTCCTGAATCTCTCATTGCAATACTTCCCACTTTTTAGGATACACCCTGTATAAACCAAGTTGGGCTTAAGTATAGAGATAGTGGACGGTGGTCAAATCGGACCCCTCCGGTGTATTAATTTGTTGCGAGAAATCGAGATTCGATTAACGAGGACGCGTGGACCGGTGAGTACGATTTCGTTACGCCGGCAAGCCAGGTGGCAGAAGGTTCTAGAAGGAATCTGCGCCATATTAGAGTGATTCGGACCACTCTTTCTGTAAAAGATTCGGAGCAATAAAACCAGATATTTAAATTACACAAGCCGAGCATTTATTACGAAGATAAGTCGAAAAGCATCCAGCCTCCCCTCAAAAACCTTACAGCTAAAATAGATCCGACTAATTTCGGTCGTAAAAACGGTTCCCTAATGTCGACTGTTAAATAATGAAACATGACAACTATTTCCTTGGCGAAAAGAGAAAATCTAACTTATTCCTCGTCCGCCGTCAACTGTTTCGTTCTCGATTGTTGTTGCTCCTGCGAAATAGCGTTCCACGCGATAGTGTCGGACATAAGTTCCTCCACCTCGAGTATATACTTCAGGTATTCCAGAGCCTCTTCGAGCAGGAAAGTGGTGTCGTTCATCAATATGTTGATAAACTTGACGAAGTGCTTGCCATTATTACTCTCATTGACGATAGACGCTCGATGCATCGGGCTATGCCACAACGAATTTAAAATCACACTTA